CCACGGGGGCCACTTTGAAAAAAACAAAAAAAAAAAAAAAAAAAGCGAGACCCACGGCAGGGTGGCAGTCTGGGGCCGGGTCCCGCCGGGGGCACTTTCAGGGTTTTTTTTTTTGGGGGGGGGTTGTTTATTCTTCCGTTAAACAGCGACAAGCGTGACTCAGTTGCAAGCAGGATCCTCGCCCCTCGTCCCGCCAGCCCCCGTCACCAGATAAACTTTGGACGTTGCCGAGGACAAGCCTCCCTGGATCGTCTCTCTTCTCGCGGGAAGTCCTCGAGCTTTTAGCAGGCCGGACTGGCCCCCAGCAGGCTTCCGTGCACTTCGGCTTCTGGACAGCCCTTTCCTTGTCCGGGAGCTGCCGCCACTGCGTGGGACGCGGGCTGGCCACAGGCCCGTGCCCACTGCCAAACTTGTTGGGGTCAGTGGGAGCCGAGGGGGCGGGCCTCGTACCTGCTCCCCGCTGCTTCTTGGGGGCTGCAAAGAACTGTGCCCCGAACCCCAGGGAAAGGCAGGCGAGCTCCTGGATGTTCTAGAGATGCCGACCCAAGAGGGAGAAAGGAGCCCACCCTCCCATAAGCCCTTTTTCTCCCCTTCCCCCCCTCTGGTTCTTTCCTGTCCTCCCTTCCCTCTCCCCTCCTGTAAAGTGTCCCGTTCAGGAATGACAGGGTACTTTCCCCCTCTACCTGGCAGCCGCTGCATCAATACAAACGGGGGGGAGGGGGGGCCTTGAACCGAAGCCACAGACCCACCGTCCGCCCACCTGCAGTTCCTGGCATCTGCAGCAGACGTGCAGGGATCCCAGTTTCAAATCCCGGCCACACGCAGTTGGGAAGCAGCTGTCCACACAGGCACGGGGACAGCCTCTTGGCCATCGGAGTGGATCTCCCCCCCCCCCCGCACCCACCCACGGGATGCCAAAAGAGCCGTCCGGCCCCTCCGCCAGCTGCAGGTTTTTGAGTCACAAGGACCCAGGAAGGGGCGTGTACCTTTTCACGGCCTCTTTGGATGGAGGGTGGGGGGAGGATTAGGTGGGGCCGGAGGGGCTGTGTGTGTGTGTCGACCCCCCCCCCCGAGAAGGGAATTTAGAGGGGAGAGGCCTCCCGTCCGCACAACCGACTCAGCCGGGCCATGTTTGCGTGTGCTGCCCTTTGCCCGAAATTTCCCCGCAGGGCCGGCTTTCTCTTGCTCCCCTTGACTGCCTGGGCCCACCTGGGGCTCTGCCCGCTGCAAGGAACTGCAAAAGGGGGTCTGGCGGCTTCTCGCTGGGGAGGCCCTGTCCTTGAAAGAATGGGGGGGGGCGGCAGTGGCTTGGGCTCCCTCCCGAGTTCGATAATCTGGCCCCTTGAAAATTCAGACTGTTACTCCCTCCCGTGTGTGTGTCGTCTCCCCCCGCCCCCTTGCTATTTCTGCACCCTGAGAAAGGGCTTGGGTCGAGGGAGCCACTCGGCCACCTGGGCTGCTTGAGACTCCTGCAGACTGGGAGGTCGGTGGCGGTGGGGGCCCTTGCCTCGACTCCCCTTTCAGCGGCTCCCCCTTGCAAGCTGGTGGGGGAAGAGTCAGCCCTCTCCCCGAACCCGTTGGGGCGTCTGTCGTCCAAGCGGCCCAGATGGCCGAGCCCTCCGCCGTGGCGGTGCAGCTCCTCCCTCTCTCTCCCTCTCCAGGCCTTCGTCGCCACGATCCGGGATTGCGGGTTGGTCAGAGGTGCTGGGTGATCTCTTCCCCCCCCCCAATTTGCCTTCCCCTCTTTCTTTCCCCTCCCCTTGACTCCGCAGCCTCTGCTTTCTTTCTAAGGAAGTCCTTGCCATTCTTGCTGTCCATTTTTACAACAATGCATTCTTTAAAAATAAAGATGGGTTTGAGCTGGGTGTGGCGTGTGGCGTCCTTCCTGAAGGTGGCGAACGGAGGGGGGGTGCCCTGGGACCCGCGGGCTGGAGCCACGAGGAGCGAAGGGCTGGGTGCTGCCTCTGGAGGCTTTGCCAGTTTGGTGGTGGTTAGGAGCGTGGACTGTAATTTGGGAGAACTGGGTCTGATTCCCCACTCCTCCACTCACAGCTGCTGGGTGACCTTGGGCAAGCCATAGTTCTGTCAGAGCTGTTCTCTCAGGAGTACCTCTCGAGAGAGCTCTCTCAGTCCCACCAACCTCACAGGGTGTCTGTTGTATGGAGACACCCTGCTTCTCCTTGGGAGAGTCAGTTTGGTGTAGTGGCTGGGAGCGTGGACTCTAATCTTGGAGAACCGGGTTTGATTCCACACTCCTCCTCCACATGCAGCTGCTGGTGTGGCCTTGGGCCAGCTATAAGTTCTTTCAGAGCTGTTCTCTCACAAGCAGTCCTCAAGAGAGCTCTCTCAGCCCCACCTACCTCACAGGGTGTCTGTTGCGGGGAGGGGAAGGAGTTTGTAAGCCGCTCCGAGACTCCTTCGGGTAGCGAAGGGCAGGGGTATGAATCCAATCTCCTCTCTCTCTCTTTGTGGTCTCCTTACAGGGTGCCCTGCCAGGCAGGCGCTGTGTCGAGTGGGAGGGGACCAACTGGGACAAGATCACAGAAGCCCTAACAAGGGAAGGCAAAAGTGGTGGAAGAGCGCTGCTGCTGGCCCTTCGGTCTCTGAGCATGAAGGGCTAGCAGCAAAGCATGATTTTGGGGGGGGGGGAGGAATGTGGCAGGGGCTGAATTGGAGAGTGGTGAATCGGTCCGAAGCTGGAGGAGCAGAACACTTTCTGTCCAGAAAAGGCTGACCGGTACGCCAAGAGGGGCAGGACCCCGGCCAGCCCTAGTTTCTGCAAGAGCACCCAGGAACAGTGGGGTCAGCCCTCCCTCTGCTCCCCCATCGCCTCCGTCCTGATCGTCCATGTGGTATTTTGAGCAGGGCAGGCCTCTCTCCCCCACTTCCTCCTGGGGTGGGGTTTTTTTTGGAGGTCTGCATCTTTGTCCAGCTGCATTGAGTGGGGAGGCCCTACTATGGCTCCCAGGTTGCCAGTTTGGTGTTGGGGTTAGGAGCACGGACTCTAATCTGGGAGAACCGGGTTTGATTTCCCCACTCCTCCACTTGCAGCTGCTGGGTGACCTTGCGTCAGTCACAAGTTCTCTCAGGAGCGGTTCTGGAAAGCGCTCTCTCAGCCCCACCTACCTCACAGGGTGTCTCTTGTGGGGAGGGGAAGGGAAAGGAGACTGTAAGCCGCTCTGAGACTCTTAAGTGAAGGACAGGGTATAAATCCATTCTCTTCTTCTGGTGTAGTGGTTAAGTGCACGGACTCTGATCTGGGAGGACCGGGTTTGATTCTCCACTTCTCCGCTTGCCCTGGCTGGATTACCTTGGGCAAGCTGTAGTTTTGACAAGAGCTGTCCTTGAAAAAGAGCCGTTTCTGTCAAGAGCTCTCTCAGCCCCACCTGCCTCACGGGGTGTCTGTTGTGGGGAGGGGAAGGGAAAGGAGTTCGTAAGCCGCTCTGAGACACCTTTGGGGAGTGAAGGGCCATGGGGTATAAATCCAATCTCCTCCTCCTTCTCTTCTTCTGGCGTAGTGGTTAAGTGCGTGGACTCTAATCTGGGAGAACCGGGTTTGATTCCCCACTCCTCCACTTGCCCCTGGCTGGATGACCTTGGGCAAGCCGTAGTTCTGACAAGAGCTGTTCTTGAAAGAGCAGTTTCTGTCAGAGCTCTCTCAGCCCCGCCTACCTCACAGGGTGTCTGTTGTGGGGAGGGGGAGGGGGAGGGGAAGGAGTTTGTCAGCCGCTCTGAGACACCTTTGGGGAGTGAAGGGCAGGGGATAAATCCAGTCTCCTCTTCTTCCTCTGCGCCTTGCTGATCTGTGAGGAAGTGGAGCAGGTGCTCCGGGGGTGCGTGCGCCCCTTCTCTCTCCCCCCAATTATTCTGTGGTTACCCCTGCTATGAAAAAAATATATAGATTTTTTTAATTGGTGAATTTTAGGAAACTTGCTCTTACAAAAAAAAGAAAAAAAGAGAGATCCCAACGTGCTTCCCTTTGAAATGGAGTTGAGGTAAGGAGTGCCCAGGACTGCTCTTAGGAGAAGGAGTGTGTGTAGAAGACGTCCACGTTGGCAGCGTAGTCCAAGGGCACGGCTTGCCCAATCTGCCTGGCTCCCAGGCTCGCCCCTCCCAGGGCAGAGGACTGTTTCAGCTTCAGGAGGCTGAACCTGGAGAAGGCGCTGCGGCGGTGCTCGCCCAGGACGCCCACGAACCCTGGAAGCAAAGAGAGACGGCTGTCGCAGAGGACACCCACCCCTGCAGAAAGAGAGAGACGTGAAGCCGGGAGGGGACTGCCTCAGAAGGCAGGTGAACGAAAGAGGCCGACCGAGAGAGAGGTGGGCTAATGGAGCCTTTGTGGCAAACTGATGCACACGGTTTTCTGCTAACCAGAGCGGGCATCAGCCACGGCGTTTCCGTCAGGGTGCAGAATGGCGGCTTCAGCGCTAAGACGGGCAGGCGTGGGGCAGACTCCTGCAGTGGGTCGTGGCGCAGTGGCAGAGCAACTGCTTGGCATGCAGAAGGCCCCAGGTTCAATCCCCGGCAGCTTCGCCAGCGGAAAAGGACCAGGCAGCGATGCTCCCTCTAAGCTGTGGGGTCTTGTGAGCAAAAATTCTACGTTGTGAGCCACGGTCATTAAAGTTGTGAGGGAGTGATTTGGCTGCTGCATAAATCAGTTTGCTCTGGAGCCCCATCCTTCTTCCTGAGCTAGGACAAAAATGTGTGAGCTGGAAGCTAAAAAACTCTGAGCTGGCGCACACTGACTCAGCTTAGAGGGGACACTGCCAGGCCGCCAGGTGATGGGGAAGGCCTCCGCCTGAGACCCTGGAGAGCCTCTGCCACTCTGAGCAGAAAACACTGACCTCAGTGGACCAAGGGTCTGTACAAGGCGGCTTCACGATGTCCCACCGGCTATCAGCCAGAAGCTACTCTGCCCCTCGTCTCTATGGCTAGTCCGGCTCTGTTCAATTTGGAAGCCGCCTTGAGCGCCACAATTCTATCCGGGGGGGGGGGGATGACTGTTGTGTTAAACCACACACTGGCGTGGCCATGGGCCTCCTTCCCCCCTTTTCTGGGTCAACGCACACCCTTGTAACCAACACTCCCTCTAAGCTGTGGAGTCTTGTGGGCAAAAATTCTACTTTGTGAGCTGCTGGCATTAAAGTTGTGCAGCGAGCCATTTGGCTGCTGCATAAATTAGTTTGCTCTGGAGCCCCATCCTTCCTGAGCGGAGACAAAAATGCATGAGCTACAGGCTAAAAACTGAGCTAGCTCACACTGACTCAGCTTAGAGGGAACACTGCTTGTAAGTTCCAAAGTTCCCTCTAAGATGTGGAGTCTTGTGAGCAAAAATTCTACTTTGTGAGCTACTGGCACTAAAGTTGTGCAGCGAGCGACTTGTATGCTGCATAACTTAGTTGGCTCTGGAGCCCTCCTTCCTGAGCAGAGACAAAAATGTGTGAGCTGGAGGCTAAAAAACGGTGAGCTAGCGCACACTAACTCACCTTAGAGGGAACACTGCTTGTAAAACCCTCCCTCCCCCCCCATTGCACAGATGGCAAGGTGGAGGTACTGACCCAAACCACTTCCCGCTTTGCCGAGCAAACCCGCCCGCAGAAGGCAGAGCTCGCCCAATCCACCCCCTCCCCCCAGTCTCTGCTCACCGTCTTTCATCTTCTCCCAGCTGTTCCACACGGACCCCACACACAGAATCGGCAGCCCCAGCTGGCCTTGGAAGAGGCTCTGGTGTGAGTCTGTCTGTGAGCAGGAGAAAAGAGCAAGAGTCCAGCAGCACCTTCAAGACTTAACACAATTTGTGGCAGGGGAGGAGCTTCCGTGAACCTATGGAGCAGAGGTCCACCAGTGGCTATTGGCCACAAAGTGTAGTTAGGGACTCCCAAGATATCTGAATGATTTAATCTGCTCGATTTCGCTTCCTTCAATTCCCCAGCAAATGCGTTTCCAGGATTTAGAGAAGACCAGTATTTTTGTCTTATCAAAATTGAGAAGGAGCAGGGGTCATTTCGTAGAAAAAGACGGGCAGGAGCTCATTAGCATAACTCCTTTGCATATGCCACACCCCCTGACATCACCAGATGTGTGCCAGAAGGCAACACCCACCACTCAGGGTCCACTGGGCTGTTTTGGATTGCTAGCTATGGGGGGGGGGGATGGACGTGCAGATCTGTCCTCACAGAGGAGGGAGAGCTTGTACCTGAATAAAATTTGTTCTTAAAGGTACCACTGGACTGTTTTGGATTGCTAGCTATGGGGGGGGGGGATGGACGTGCAGATCTGTCCTCACAGAGGAGGGAGAGCTTGTACCTGAAGGCGGGCCACTCCTTGCTCCTCATGGCCCGACTGAGGGCTGCTGGGAGCAGGGCTTGTTGCATGTGCCCGCCCCCTGAGCTCCTTACTGCCGGAGCTCCGCTCCTGTGCACTCCTGCAGGAAATGACCCCTGAGAAGGAGTCAGTTCTGTCTGCAAAAAGCAGAGAACTCCGATAGGAGTCGCATTAGTCCAGCCCGAATATAGGAAAGGATCGCCACATCATCTACGTAAAGTAGGATAGGCATTTAGTTTAGGGGAGTGGCCGAGTTAGGAACTCTCAGTCTGGGGCAAGGGGTTCTCTGTTGTTTTGGTGCTTGGTGGGGGGGGGGCAACAGTGGGAGGGCTTCTAGTGTCCTGGCCCCACTCCTGGACCTCCTGATGGCACCTGGTATTTCTGGCCACTGTGTGACAGACTGGATGGGCCATTGGCCTGATCCAACATTGGCTTCTCTGATGTTCTTACATTAAGAGCAGAGGTCCATCCGTGGCCATTAGCCACAAGGTGTAGATGGGAACTCACAGGCCGGGGTAGGTGATGCTCTGTATTCTTGGTGCTTGGAAGGGGGGGGTTAACAGTGGGAGGGCTTCTAATGTCCTGGCCCCACTGCTGGACCTCCTGATGGCCCCTGGTATTTCTGGCCACTGTGTGACAGACTGGATGGGCCACTGGCCTGATCCAACATTGGCTTCTCCGATGTTCTTACGAGTCCCTCGTCTTTAAGGTGCAGCCGCTCTGCTCTTTTCTACTGGGCTTGAGAGTCAAAAGTCATACAGGCTCATGTACATCAAAGGGACAGGGTGTCCTCCCATCCAGGGACTAACCTGACCTACCCTTGTGTAGTTTTACACCTGTGCTTTTAGCCTGTACTGCAGATACTCTGGGAACCAAAGAAAGGCAGCCGGGAAGCAGCTCTTGAGCAGAGGAAGGGGAATATTTCGAGCACTGGCTGAAGGGACCGTGCACGCTTGGCAGTGGACGGGACATGTGCAGGAGGAGCCGGCCATGGTCGCCTACCCCAAGGTCCTTCCCTACAGCTTGGATCTGCCCCTGGAGGCACTAGCAGCCCCACCGAGATCACACAGGCTTGTGTATTTCACAGCCAGATTCGCAAGCTTCCTGGTGAGTCTTCAGGAAACCATGTCTTTGCTGTCTAAAAGATGTGGCAAAGGATGTTCAGTTAGGGTTGCCAGCTCCGGGTTGGGGTATTCCTGGAGATCTAGGGGTGAAGCCTGGGAAGGGGAGGGGCTTCAGTGGAGGACAACGCCAAAGAGTCCATCCACCGAAGCAGCCAATTTATCCAGGGGAGCTGATCCCCGGAATTGGGAGATTGGTTGTGATTTCAGGCGCTCTCCAGACCGCACCTGGAGGCCGGCAGCCCTGGGTGACGTAGACCGGCTTGCTTTGCTTCCATCAGGAGCAGTTGGGTGCCCCGACAGGAAAGGGGCGGGCCACTTCCTCCCCCACTTCCTCCTAGGGGACGCTCTTTCCAGGGGGCCAATTCTTTTCCCGCACGCGCCACTCAGCACGCTCTCCTTATTTCCCGTGCCAACTGTTCCAAGGCTGCAAGTTTACCGTGTCAATTTTGGGCAACACGGCTACGACGTGTCGTGCCAAGACCTCCCCAGCCTTGTTGAAAATGTACCCGCACAAGGGGTCCCCGGCCTGGGCTCCTGCGGAGAGAGAGAGAAAGAGAGAAAGACAACGCTGGTTCAGCCAGACTCCAAACTGCTGGAGGAAGGGGGTAAGGTCTGTGTAACACACAACTCTGGGAAGAGTCAAATTAAAAATAATAAAAAGAGATTGGATTTATGCCCCACCCTTCACTTGGAGTCTCAGAGCGGCTTACAAACACCTTTCCCTTCCCCTTCCCACAACAGGCACCCTGTGAGGTAGGTGGGGCTGAGAGAGCTCTTTCAAGGACTACTCTTTCAAGGACAGCTCTTGTCAGAACTATGGCTTGCCCAAGGTCACCTGGCAGCTGCAACTGGAGGAGTGGGGACTCAACCCTGGTTCTTTCAGATTAGAGTCTGTGTATTTAACCACGACACCAAACTGGCTCTTTCAGGATTGGTTAATCTCACTTCTGCAAGCCCAGCAGGGAAAAACTGGAGTTTTAGCATGCTTACATAAAAGGCCAAACTACATAGTTCAGGCCAGGGACCATCTGGTTCATATGTTGGATTTTAAAAACCATATTTTCCTTCTTATACCAAGAGATGCTGCTGCTGCTTCTGCACCAATCCAGCCCTGCAACAGCTGCACTTATGTTGCTTTTGCGCAAGAAACATTCTCCAGATAACTAACCCCCACCCATCTGTGTGAGCGGGGAGAACTTTGGGTTCCAATACAGGTTTCAAATCTACCAGTGTTTCAGTGACACAAACTCTTCTCTCCAGGTTGGTATTCAAGAAGAAGAAGAAGAAGAAGAGGAGATTGGATTTATACCCCGCCCTTCAAGACCCAAAGGTGTCTCAGAGCGGCTTACAAACTCCTTTCCCTTCCCCTCCCCACAACAGACACCCTGTGAGGTAGGTGGGGCTGAGAGAGCTCTTGACAGAAACTGCTCTTTTTTCAAGGACATCTCTTATCAGAACTATGGCTTGCCCAAGGTCACACCAGCAGGTGCAAGTGGAGGAGTGGGGGAATCAAACCCGGTTCTCCCAGATTAGCCACGACACCAAACTGGCTCCCCCTTTGAGCCTGTTCCCCTTCCGCCTGAGGCCAGTGAAATCTCGCTTCTGCAGCCTTCAGGGTCCACATTTGGCTGTGAAAGCCTTACAGCCGACCCAGGGCAACTGTAGTCCTACAAGGCAGTGCAATCTTTGTCGCGGGGCAGCTCCATCACAGGTCCTTGCGACAGTTCAAAAACGACACACCTCCAGTGTGGTTAAAAAGCTGGTTTCAGACGGGGGGGGGGGACCAAGGCCCGAGTCCACTCCCTGCCACGAAGCTCAATGGTCAACCTTTGGTCACGATCTCTCAGCCTAATCTACCTTACAGGGTTGTTGTGTTGAAATGAAATAACACTGTCCGCCACCCTGAATCCCACAAAGGAAGGATGCGATAAAAACGTGACAGACAGAACTCTGTCCGTCTCTTTTTCCAGCTACCTTCCGCCAGCCTCTGGCAAAATCCGGCAAACTTGGACTTCTCAAAGGTTCGGTAGAGATGCGTCAGGAGTCCCATCCTGTCGGAGACCTGCAGAAACCCAGAACTTGCAGCATTACGACGATTCTTAGCATCCGTCTGACACTTGGAGCATTCAAAACTCTTCACATGCGTGACTGCAGGAATCCTTGCAGCTGCCCCGTAAGGGTATTTCTATTTATCATTTCAGTTTATATCCCGCCCTTCCCGCAAGCAGCCTCAGGGCAGGTCACGACTACAGGTTCCAAAACAATCTTCAAAACAATCTTAAAATTCAGACAAGAATAAAAACATGAAGGACACTGCAGACTTGGCCAACCTGAAAAATCAGTGGCTGAACATAGCCTAACTCAAAAAGGACACAGTATCTTATTCCAAGACACTGAAAGGCTGGACAACACATCCAATTATCATGTCAGATTACACAGGGAAGCCACTGAAATTCAGAAACATAAACACCATTTCAACAGGAAAGAAGGGAGTTTAGAAATAAATAGGGCATGGTTCCCTGCCCTGAAAAACATAAAATGCTCCACATCTCACAACAGCACTACAGATACGATTAGAATTTCAACAGCCAATCCATATGCAAAAGAACCTCCTCAGGAAAGCTCCTCCATCAGCATGTCACAGCCTGGGGAACTCCGACGCGATCATGACTCAGCCCTACCCCACCTTCCTGAGTAGATATAAATTGCCTGCCGACTGTTTTTCTTCTCACATTTGACACAGAGAGTACTCTGTCTTTCTGTGTTATACCTCTGAGGATGCCAGTCACAGCTGCTGGCGAAACGTCAGGTCCTACAGTGCCAAGACCACGGCCACACAGCTCGGAAAATCTACAACAACTATTCTTAAAATGATTCCATGAATAGACATCAAACATTTAATACAATAAAAACAGTTAAAGTGAGCAGTGCTGCAGTTTTCAATTTTCAGTTCCTACAGCCAGGAACGAGTGGGCCGGGGCCGAGCCATTAAGGTCTCGTTAATAGCAGCGTACAGTAACGAGGAGCTGCGGTGGCTCAAGTGGTTAAGACGCTGAACTGCAGGCTGTGGAAGGTCGGTAGTTCAGCAGTTCAAGACCCGGGTGCCGCATGACGGAGTGAGCTCCCGTCTCTAGTTCCAGCTCCTGCCAACCTAGCAGTTCAAAAGCAAGAAATTGCAAGTAGATAAATAGGGACCACTTCAGTGGGAAGGTAACAGCGTTCCGTGCGCCTTGGTGTTTAGTCATGCCGGCCACATGACCACGGAAACGTCTTCGGACAGCGCTGGCTCTTCGGCTTGGAAACAGAGATGAGCACCACAACCCTAGAGTCGAATTCGACTGGCTTTCGAGCAAGGGAACCTTTACCTTTACCTTTTTACAGTAACAGGGAGGCCTCCTGGCTTATACTCTTAGCCAGCACGTGAACTCCGGTTCTGGTGAAGCAAAGATGCCTTGACCTATGAAAGGGGACACATGAAGCCGCCTGACATCTGAATCAGATCACTGGTCTAAAACCAACCATATTTATGGTCAGGCGTGAGGTTTTGTTGTGTTGTGCTGCTCTGTTATCAGCACCACAACTCTTCATTCCAGGGGTAAAGGTAAAGGTTCCCATGCTCGAAAGCCAGTCGAATCCGGCTCTAGGGTTGCAGTGCTCATCTCCGTTTCAAAGCCGAAGAGCCAGCGCTGTCCGAAGACGTTTCCGTGGTCATGTGGTCGGCGTGACTAAACACCAAGGAGCACGGAACGCTGTTACCTTCCCACCTATTTATCTACTTGCAATTTCTTGCTTTCGAACTGCTGGGTTGGCAGGAGCTGGAACTAGAGACGGGAGCTCACTCCGTCATGCGGCACCCGGGTCTCGAACTGCTGAACTACCGACCTTCCACAGCCGGCAGTTCAGCGTCTTAAAAGGCAACCGAAGACTCTCTGTCGGGGAACTACCTGGAAATAGTCAAACATGGCTTGCTTGACGTAGCCGATGTCATGGGGCGGCACCTCCAAGTTGTCCAGGCCGTCAAACACGATCTTCACTGCCTGGTGGGCAATCCAGTAGGCTGCAAAAACAAGAGACTCTCTAGCCTTCCGTCTTCCGTGATCCAGGCCACCGCCCTAGCCCAGCCTTCTCCTCTGGGCCTGGACGGAGGCCTTGCGGGCTCAAATTGCCACAAATAACCTTCGCCTGGCCCACACTGGGAAAGAAACGCAACGCAGTCATTCAACCAAAAGGGTTCTTCTTTAGTCTCCAGAAACTCATCGGCTGAAGGCAAATGTCAGTTGTGAATGTCCAGGATGGACCCCATGCAATGCTCCCTCTAAGCTGTGGAGTCCTGTGAGCAAAAATTCTACTTTGCGAGTGGCTGGCATTCAAGTTGTGAGCGAGCAATTTGGCTGCTGCATAAATCAGTTTGCTCTGGAGCCCCATCCTTCCTGAGCCGAGACAAAAAATGTGTGAGCCGGAGGCTAAAAAACTGTGAGCTAGCTTAGAGGGAACACTGGACCCATGGTGCCTGCCACATCTTTTCAGGAAGTGGGTGAGGCCAGGGGGGTGTTTCCCCAGCAGGGCCTTTGACTGGCCACTGGAGATCTGATTGGCTGGGCAGATTAAAAGGTTTCAGTGGCAGATGCTGCCACAGTGCTAGTTTTATTCTCTGCTACTCCGCTGGAGAAGACTCTTGAGAGTCCCTTGGACTGCAAGAAGATCGAATCAGTCAATCCTAAAAGAAATCAACCCTGTCTGTTCCCTGGAAGGCCAGATAATGAAACTGAAGCTCAAATACTTTGGCCACCCAATGAGAAGGGAGCACTCACTGGAGAAGAAGACCCTGATGCTGGGAAAGATTGAAGGTCAAAGAAGATGGGGACGGCAAAGGATGAGATGGTGAGACAGTGTCACAGATGCAACGAACATGAAGTTGAGCCAACTTCAGAGGACGGCGGAAGACCAGAGGGCCTGGCGTGATCTGGTCCATGGGTCGCGGAGAGTCGGACTCGACTGTGCGACTGAACAACAGCAACTCCGCTTCCCCAGTGCATTTCTAAAAATCACTCCTCTCGTCCCCTGAACTTGGGACTTCCTCTGTGTATGTGGTTCCCTCTCCTGCGGCAGCCACGTTGCTGTGTCAGAATTCCAAAGGTGCCCATAGGCTCAAAGAAGTTGGGGACCCCTGCTCTACGAACACCCCCAGGGACTGCTGGGTCTTGCTGTGAAGGGACAGACGTTTCTGGAATGTTAAACGTGGGCTGGCCACAACATCACCTTGGGTCTCTCCATGATGTCGGGGACGTCTCACTACAAATGCTCAGGTGATGCAGCACTGGCCTTATATTGAGCTACCTTATACTCAGTCAGTCCAGGTCAGTATAGTCAACTGAAGAGTGCTGAAGCTCTCCAGGGTCTCAGGCAGAGTTCTTCCACATCACCAACAGCATGCTTTGGGAAGGGGCCTTGGCTCAGCATAGAGCCTCTGTTTGGCCTGCAGAAGGTTCCAGGTTCGATCCCCGGCATCTCCAGTTAGAAGGACCAGGCAGGAGGGGATGGGAAAGACCTCTGCCTGAGACCCTGGAGAGCTGTAAAGAGGGGCTGTGGCTCAGTGGAAGAGCCTCTGCCTGGCATGCAGAAGGTCCCAGGTTCAATCCCCAGCATCTCCAGTTAAAAGGACAAGGCAGGAGGTGATGGGAAAGACCTCCGCCTGAGACTCTGGAGAGCTGTAAAGAGGGGCTGTGGGCTCAGTGGAAGAGCCTCTGCTTGGCATGCAGGAGGTCCCAGGTTCAATCCCCGGCATCTCCAGTTAGAAAGGACCAGGTGGGAGGTGATGGGAAAAACCTTCGTCTGAGACCCTGGAGAGCTGTAAAGAGGGGCTGTGGCTCAGAGGGAAAGCCTCTGCTTGGCATGCAGAAGGTCCCAGGTTCAATCCCCGGCATCTCCAGTTGAACGGACCTGATAGTAGGTGATGGGAAAGACCTCTACCTGGGATCCTGAAGAAGAGGAGGAGATTGGATTGATACCCCACCCTTCACTACCGAAAGGAGTCTCAGAGTGGCTTACAATCTCCCTTCCCTTCCCTTCCCCTCCCTACCCCTCCCTACAACAGACACCCTGTGAGGTAGGTGGGGCTGAGAGAGCTCTGACAGGCACTACCTTGGAGAGAACAGCTCTGAGAGAACTTGTGACTGACCCAAGGTCACACCAGCAGCTGCATGTGGAGGAGTGGGGAATCAAACCCGGTTCTCCCAGATTAGAGTCTGCGCTCTTAAACACTACACTAAACTGCTTCTCCTGGACAGCCGCTGCCAGTCTGAGTGGAAAACACTGACTTTGATGGGCCAAAGTCAGTAGAAGTCAGCATCACGTGTGATCCTTTCAAGAGGCCATGCTGGGGACTGAACCTGCAGCCTTTTGCACAGAAAGCAGTTGCTCTGCCACTAAGCCACAGCACCTGCCCACCCTTGGCTCCTTCTGGCACTTGGACTGCCTTCCAGAACCGCTTCAAAGCTTTTGGGGAGGGAGGAATTCCTGGTCCCGAGGTGTTTTCCGGCACAGAGCGCAGTGATTTAGCCCAGCAGATCTGAGCGCTCCAGCAAAGCTCTTTGTCCCCAAAAGACGAAACCCACTGAATGCAGTGGTAAGCAGCGACCCTGGCCGATGGCCCCGAGCCCCGTTTCTCACCTGACCCCTCGTCCCCCATCATATGCCCCCATCCCCCGCAGCTGGTCTGAGAGCCATCGGGGTTGATGAGCTTGCAGTTGGAGCCCGTTCCAGAGATGAGGACCACGCCACCTGCAGTGGAAGAGAGGAGAGATCTTAGCAAGCAACAGCAGGGGTCACTGGGGGGGAGGTGCCTGTGAATTCCCTGCACTGTTCACAGGGTTGGACTAGATGACAACAGACAAGGGCAACTCGAATGATAAAGGGGTTGGAACAATTCCCCTACGAGGAAAGGTTAAAGCGCTTAGGGCTCTTTAGCTTGGAGAAACGACGACTGAGGGGTGACATGATCGAGGTTTCTAAGATTATGCCTGGGAAAGAGCAGGTAGAGAAAGAAGCACTAGTCTCCAGTGTTCCCTCTAAGCTGAGTTAGTGTGAGCTAGCTCACAATTTTTTAGCCTCCGGCTCACACATTTTTGTCTTAGCTCAGGAAGGGAT